CTCCTTGGTTGGGAACCGGCAGCATTCAACACACCACTGGACCCCCTGCCCAAGGTGTCTCAGTCTTGGCTGCCACCGAGTTTCCCCCTGTGTCAAGGGCCCGGCACCCTCTGCCCGTGGATGTTTGCTCACCCTGCCAGGAGCAGCTCACACCAGGATTTTTCTGGGGAAAAGAGAGAGGGAATTTCTACCAACCTCCTGGGCAAGAAGAAATTGTTTATCATCTTCCCTGGAAAGGGGAATCGCCTGCACAGCTTCACAGCGAAGCTCCGGCTGGCTCGGCACAGCGGCCACGGCACAGCCAGAGCCTGGCCGTTACGAGGCAGCCCCGAGCTCGAGCTGGGGCTGTATGTCCTGAGCTAACCAGGAGGAACGTGAGATGCTGCCTTCAGCTGCAAAATGAACTGGGAGCACTCACAGATCTCCGCCTCCATCCGGCCCTGAGGCTGGGAGGGAATACACATCCCGAGAGATCCAACAGTGTCATGGGAAGAGTCAGTTTGGTCTCTCAGGATATTTCACTTAAATCCAGGCAGCCAAAACTCTAGAGCTGGGCTTCTTCCTCCACTAAAAATAAATGAGAAAGGCCAAGAAGTCAGCAGACTTAAAATCAAATCACGACAGGCCACAGCCGTAGCTAGACTCCAACCACAGCCCACTGACGCCCAGATGCACGGCAGCCATCCTGCTTACTTGCCTGTGTTGGTCCCACTCATGCTGCCTCCCGCAGCCCCCTGAAGCAGCCAGGTGGGCAGGGAACACGGCAACCTGCCACAACAGGACAGGCAGGGGATGCCTGAGCCTTGTGGAGACTTCAGAGGATGTGAGGACCTTCTCTCCTGCAAGTCACCCCTCTTGCTTCGGGGCTCCTTGTGAAGGGAGCGAGGCCACCATGTGCGCAGCAGGACTGGAAACAAGCCCACCTGGCACAGAGCAGATGACTTGATTCCTGCCAGCAAGGAGGCCCCTGGCCCTCATCCTACAGCTTGCGTCTTGGACGCCTTGCTGCTCTTTTAGACTAGATATTACGGAAAATTTCTTTACTGAGAGAGTAGTCAAGCATTGGAACGGGCTGCCCAAGGAGGTGGTGGAGTCACCATCACTGCAAGTGTTCAAAAACCGTGTAGATGTGGCACTTCAGGATATGGCTTAGTGGGCTTGGTGGTGCTGGGTTGACGGTTGGACTTGATGATCTTATAGGTCTTTTCCAACCTTAATGATTCCGTGATTCTGTGATTCTACTCACAGCATGGCCCACAAAGAGGAACGTTTCTCCATCCACCTCCTTCAGGCTGAGGACTTGTGGGTTGCACGTGCTCATGAAAATGGTCACCATTATCAACGTGGCTGAGTGGTCTCTGCTCCCTGGGGACTGAGCCAGGGCCAGTGTGGATGTACAGGATGCTCCCTGCCGGTCCTTGTCCTGGCAGTGCAGGAGCAACTTGGCCAAGAGGGAGCGTGGGCTGTTGATGGAGATCAGCTGCTCTCTGCAGGCACTTCAGGCATTTCCTCCCTGCTCTGCCCATTGTTCGTAAGACAAATAGCTCTCCCTGGCCCGGGAAGGGGCTTATTTACAGAGCCAGCGAGCTCATTCAACCTGGGAGAGAAGCCTGAAAGCGCAGGGATTGTTTTTTCTGCAGATCACAGGGAGATGACAGCCTGCGTTATGTCAAAAGCAGCAGCCAGAGAGGCATTCCCATTGCTGTTTTGTAGTTGCTTTTCTGCCACGGCAGCACGTGGCAGAGCCTGTGACTTCCTCGATGAGGCTATCATTTGGCATCTGTCCCTGACACGGCACCTCTTCTCTGCCCGGCCAGAGCAGGCAGAGGTCTGGCATCTCCCACCACTCACCTGCCCCTCGCTGCTACCTGGATGGTCCATCACAGCTCAGCGCTAGCTGGTCCTCGCTGATCTTCCATCGGTGTCCACACACGCACAAATAAATCACACCCCAACAAGCAGAGCGGTAACTTTTTTGCTGAAGTCAAGGGGGCTACAGGTACGTCACCAAAAGCAGAAACAGGCTCGACATTAAGCCCTGTGGGGCATGCCCTGGCGCTTGGGTGTGCGTGGGAAGTCCCAACCATGAACGCAGGAAGCTGCGTACCGCACGCAGAAGCTCGCGTGGGTGCCAGCCGGGTTCCCCGCCAGCCCTCCCGAGCGCTGCATCGCCGCGCCACAGCCCCGGCTGGGACACAGACCGGGAGCGCTTCCTGTGAGACGGCCCATCAGAGCAAAAGCTAGACGTTGTTCACCCTCACAAGCTCTTGCAAGCCTGAAAATAGACCCACTCCAGTCTCCTAAGTTGCTGGGAAAGTATTTTCCCTTCAAGATGACTTTATATGGATAAGGGGAAACCTTCTGTAAGCAGCATGTACTCATTCTAGCTGGCACGGCCTCAGCTGCTCCCTCCCCGGCCGGTGCTCTGTGAGAGGCACCAGCAGATGGGACCTGCAGGCAGCTTCTGGCCTTCCCCATTCCCAAAGCTTCCTGCTGCTTTCTGGCAGATTTACAAGCCTGCTTCTTTACCTCCTTCTTGAAGGCATTTCTCCACCTCCTTTAACCTGGCCTTGAAGAGACTCTAAGGAGTTACAGAAGGAAGCTCCGAGACCAAAGGAGATGCTGGATACTAAGCCTATTTGGATGCTCTCCTTCAGACTTCAGCAGCTCAGTGACCCTGGAGAGGCTGCAAACGCAAAGGCAGCTTTGCCCCAAGCCCTGGAGACTGAGTCAGCGTGAGGCAGGGCCCTGGGCCACCATCTATCTGCCATGGATCTCCTCCTGCTTCCCATCCCGCCAGGCTCAGCGTGGAGCAGACCGATACAGCTGGGAATCCCACCCCTGCTGCTTTACCACAGTTCAGGAACACTGCCTTCGGAGACCTTGTGCATGACCTTCATATGGCTACGTATTGGTCCTCCGTGAGGTTTACGTACAGGTGGAAGGGAGAACGGGGTGGCCCTGCAAAGAACAAAACCCCAAGCCCTTTCTCCCCCACCTAGCACGCAGGATGGGTCTGTGCTGGCACCCAGAGAAAAGGCCGCCTCTCTGCATGGGAACAGCCAAATGGGGAAAGGGCAACCCCTCTCAGCAGAGATGACGCTGCCCTTGCTAGCGGACTGCCACAAGCCAACCTCTCTCCTGCCTTTTCCCTCTGTCCTGCCTTATTTTTCCCACCTCCCCTTCCTTTTGCCGGTCTCTGAAGTACGCTGTGCCTGGGGTCAAGCAGGCAGTAGCTTTCTGCAAACGCTCTTGCTGCTTCACAGCCATATCTGCAGGTCTATTTGAGTTTTCTTGCCCTGGACCTCTTGGACAAGCCCTATCAAGAAACTTGATAAAGGCTGCCACCTCCTCTCTTCTCTTCGTGTGACCTTGGCTTCATTTTACTAAGAAAACTGTCATTATGGCACAAGGAGGACCATGAGCTAAAGCCTGGAAAGAATGTGAAAAGCTTGCGGTGGAAGACACAGAAACAAGGCATGGCAGCGTTTATGCATGGAAAAGCAAGTAGGGCTTTCAAAAGTCCAACCCGATTAGGCTTGTTACATGGTAATCTCCTATTTAGTATGAACCTCAATCAACCTCAGCCCAACAAAGGATTAAACGCATTTTTTTTAAACACAGCATGCCTTTCCAGCAACAGAAAAAACAACATGGGGAGGAATTTGCTGATTTGCAAACATTCCTTCCTAGTGATTTTTAATATGCTATGATGATCGAGAATGAAGACACAGGTGAAAGATGGGATCCGCTTGGGTAGTGGAGGTGTTTGCATAGTCCCAGGCATACTGGTGCTCTCCAAGACTCTCAGCTACCGAGTAACACATTAAACAGCTTCCCTAATAAGATTTTAGCACAGTAACCATAAAAACTCAAGCTCCAATGAACTAAAACCTTTTCATATAACTAAATGCCTTTTAAGGAGGAATTTATGTCCTACCTTATGACAGTGGAAAAACCCAAAGTTACAGATTAATTTTAAAAGTACCAGCATAAAGCTTCAGCCCCAGATACTCTGTCCCAAAATCCCAAGGCACTGTGTGCTGGAAAAGCAAACACCATGCTGAATCACATCCCCAAACCACGGTCTGTCTGAAAGGACTTTGTGATACAAAACAAAAGGTGTAAGTCCACCTGCAAGACCCCCACTCCCAGCTGATGCAGAAACCCAAACCAGCTTCCCAGGAGAATCAGGGAATTCAGTTCACTTCCAACCATGGATGACTTAACAAAAACTTGCCTAAAACTTTCTTTCAACAGCAAAGAAGGAAGCACTCATAAAATGCGGATATTCTTTTAAGTCTCTTAAAATCCAGGAAAGGAATAACGGGAGGAAAGAACTAAAGCGATCTAAAGCCACTTCTTAATTAAAAAGCACAAATTCAGCAGAGTTTCTTGTAAAACGCGATCTGACATGAGCTATGCTCTCTGGTGTTGGAAGCCTTTGAATTTAAGGCAGCTGTATGAGGAAAACATGAACCAACATCAGTTATAACAGCAGCCTGCCATCTCCCAGAAGGTTTTCCCCAAAACCCCCTGTTTCTGCTCTACTCTGGCAGTGGATTGAAAAAAAAAAAAACCAACAAAAAAACCTCACCCTCAAAACTAAAATATTTCTGGCAAAGTCTCAACAGCTGAGTTTGGATAGAATGAGACAACAGATGTGATTTATGTTTCTTGTTTTAAAATTGACCTGTGGGAACTCGGCACCTCCTTGTTTGCAGCACAGATATAGCTTCATGGGATACTGAGGCACCAGCAAAGCAAAACCTCTGCTGGGAGACAGTGGCAGGAATGGGGGGGGTGTACTTGCCCCTGGGGCTGTCAGTCTCCACGAGAGCCTGGCAGCCATGATCCTACATCCATCAGCTCATTTTTTAAGCCCTGGGGATGGCCAAGAAACCTTGCACCCACCTTTGCCCGAGCCCCAGAGCGGGCGGGTGGCACTGTAGCAAAAAGACCCTTCTAGGAGGGATGCTGTCTGGGCTTCTGGCAAGCCAAAAAAATACCCCTCTGGGGAACAGCTCAGCTCCGGTGACTGGGATCTCTTTGCTGGTGAAAGAGAGATTTAGGCAAGTTTAGTGCTGGTTACAGTCAGTTTTAAAAGAACCTCTCTCCTGGACCTGCTGTTCATAAGCTCTGCAGCCTGTGGGATGGATCCTGCAAGGTGCTGAGCCCTCATCACCATAGGGCAAACCCCTGCACGTTGCCAACGCAGGGAAAAGACTTTCATGGAGCCATGGAGATTCAAGCCATGTTCAGATCAATGGAAATAAAGCAGGCTGCTTGGCGAGCTGGCAAATCCACCCTTCACCCAGACGGGCCCCGAGTTTCTACCTCCGGGAGGTCTCCGTGGGTAGGTGCGAAGCAGCACCAGTTCCCTGGAGAGGGAAACGCTCTCCTCCGATACCTGCTGACAGCCACTTTGTGGTGCGCTGCGCTGGAGCAAGAACAGGCGCTCGGCTTCCACCGAGAGAGAAGTGAGCATAAAAGAAAGGCAAAGCTTTGACTGGCAACGGCAAAACCACCTGGAGACCCCAACCCAGCTGGAACAAGTATCAGGGACTTCAAACCATAAGGCCTTTGGGCTGTAATGAGGCAACCTCAGCAGTATTTCCAGCAGTCACAACATGTCCCTCGAAGCAGGTATTTGCTGGTAGCTAAAGATAAAAGAGATTTGGGGGTATGTGTCCCTTCTTGTGCTGGTTAGGCAACAAGTCCGTGCCTGGTATTTTTCAGCTCAGAGTGACTGTAATGCCAAAAAGTCCTCCTAGCTTTTTGATGGGGGTTGGTGCTTTGAGGTTGTTTTTCTGCCTGGGTTGAGCTGAGCCACGCTCAATTGAACCCCAATTCTTTACGCCAGCTGGCTTTCTGTGGCAGTGGGTACCATGGTCCTCCTGCCCCAGGTCCCAGCTGGCCGTAAACAGCCTCAATGCATGCACTTCAAAATGAATTTTGGCCTAAATTGCTGAAGACACCAGCTCCGTAAGAGGCTCTTGCCAACATCCGTGCACAGCCGGCTGACGGCAGCGGCCGGGGGGCGCTC